AATGGGCCAACTACGGAACCCTGATCAATTCCGCAGTGGATGGGCAACATTGGAGATCTGTGTGGGCCTACTTCAAACAAATTGGTAACGATACGTCAGGTAATTGGATAATAGTTTGCCTGCATTACCTCTAAAACCGTAATGTTTTAACCTATGGGTGAGAATAGTGTGGTCCACAGTGTCAAAAGCCTTTTTAGATCTAAAAAGGCACAACAGACATAGTCGCCTTTGTCTATTTTATCATAGATAAATTAAATTGGTACAATAACTCATCATTCTAGTATAAAATTAACTTTTCCGCTATGATGCTAATTGAGGATAAAATGGAGATTGGTCTATAGTTCGAAGGGTTATTCTTTTTACCACATTTAAAAATTGGTATTACTCTAGCCATTTTCAATGAGGAAGGATATATGCCTAGACTAAACGATGAATTGAAAAAGTGACTCAGTATCGGTGATATAATATCGGCAACTATTGTTAGGAAATAGGAGGAAATACCATCGGGTCCAACAGCTTACCCTTTTTCAGGTTCCTGATTACATAGAGAACTTCCGAAGGTGTGTTAATTCAAGGAAGAAAGTGTTTCTGCGAAGGGACACCTAGAAATTCGGTAACTGGTTTTGAGCAACGTGCGATTTTATCTGCAAGTTTCTTCCTAAGGTTGAGAAGAATTATTAAATTCGGTGGCCACTTGAACTGGATCAGAAACTGTGGTACCATTTTCTAGTATCAATTCTGAGATGTGGTGTTATCTCTTGACTTAATTTGATGATGTCATGATGGTTTGCCATGTGCGTTTCACATCGCCTCTGTTGCTTCACTAGAAAATATATGGTAATACTGTTTGTTTCGATTTTCTCTGCAAATGAGTTAGAATGTTTTTGTACTTTTTGTAATGAAGACGCTGGGATGCATTCCCCTTCAGATACATTTGCTTGAACATATTATTTTTTGTTTTATCGACGTCAGTTTAATTAAGAAGAGAGCGATGCGCAAATATTGGGACACAAAGCCAAAACGAAGTAATATGAGTAGGCAATCTGTTACAACCTAATTCTTACCTCCATAGTTCCGGGAATTTCAATATCCACTGACATTGGAATAGATGTTGCGGTTTCGATTAGGTTTGAGTTCAATTGAAAGGATGGCTCTTTCAATGCTAAAGGTTGCCATAGTGTAAAACCGATATAAACCATTGAACACATCGCAGACCTAACCATTTTACATCTACCAGACTTCGTGAGCGAGCACGGGCATAGAGATCGGAATCTCGTACTTGTTAAAGCGAATCTCTCTTAATGTAACCGTTCATTCAAAAAGTGTTGTCCCGGGTACACTCATGGTCTTCCATATCTGCTGGAGGGGAAAGTTATTCTAGGTAGGCTTACCATACGTCCCGGTGTAGCCGGGACAGTCCCGATTTTAGCAAGTTGTCCCGCCCGCTTGACCTAAATGTCCCAATTTTGCAGTATGACAACATTTTTTATTTGATGATAATACAAATTTCTTTTAATGGAGGCAGCCGATATACCACCGCTGTGCAACTTACTTCACTAGTTTAGATAGAGATAGAAACTGTTATGCCATAGTATGATAAGAAGTACGAACACCGTGCAATAATTTAACATCCAACCGTACTGTCGCTGAATCATCAAAATGTGAAAAAAAATATTCTAATGAGTTAAAGAGCGATTTCCCTTATTGATGTCAAAAACCAATAGTGGATATTTTAATATGATTAAAAGCTAATTTTGACGCCCGTATTTTGCCCACAAGGATATGGAAAAAGTTCACTAATATTGAGCCTCGGAATCGAACAAAGGTTGGCTTGCCCAATCCGTACTGTCCCGTTTTTTTGCCACAGATATATGGTAAGCCTAATTCTGAGTAAATTTGGGCAATCTTTCATGGACCTTTCAAGTTATTCGTGGATTTGATAGGTTAAAAAATTAGTTTGATTTCCCCGAAAAAATAACTTACACAAACAATGAACACAAAATTTATTGGTAAAACTGGTAAAGCTTTTAATAAAGTCAAAACATGTAAAAAATACACGTGCCAATTTACCAATCTTACACACACGAACAAGTATAAAAAGATTAAAAAAAATACCAACGTATATCATTCGGTCGTCTAACTTGTGTAACATAAACACACTGCTAGCATGGTGAGTTCAAATATAAAGCTTTTTCAGCCGACACGTCTAGGCTATTCTAAACAATCACGAAGTAATGTGTTGAGTGGAAGCAAAATTAATAAATAAATTTTAAATGAAAGTCCTCATTGTGAATAAAATTCGTGAGTGCTGTGTTGTAGGCGCAACATAGTTCCATACAAACAGCTTCATCATTTTTCCTCTTTAGATCTTTGGGAAATTGAAATGAGAATTGTAAACGTAGCAAGTTGGATTCAGATCCAAATCTGATTTGTTGTTATTGTGAGCCCGGTTAGCTCAGTCGGTAGAGCGTTGGACTTTTAATCCAACGGTCAAGGGTTCAAGTCCCTTATCGGGCGTTCGCTTTTTTTCAACGGTAGTAGTTTCAATCTCACTGTTCTGAAATGTCAAGTCTAGCGCCTAACCTCAAAAATATCCAGCACACAAAAGTCACAACTAACAGATAGTAAGGTCTTCTCCCAGAAGGTTCTCCATTGAATTTTATGATCGTAAAATTTCGTTCTTGCGAAAATCTATTTGCACAAAGGTTTATTATCTTTAATATACATTTTCAAAATGATTTCTCATATAAGTAAATGCATTCCTGCAAAAATTGCTGACTACAAATATTTACGGTTTACACAAATACTCCGCGCCCAAAGTTCTCGCAAAACTACAAAGTTTGTTCGCGCAAATGACACAACCAGAATTCGCATTTCACCACTTTGGGCTTTTAGCTTATGCTCATTATGCTGTCTGTTCGCTTTGCGTGTTGTCAAATTTTTCTGCCACGGAAAAGTTTAAAATGGAATGCCAGCTTAGATTAATTTGATATCAAAATATTTAGCCTAAAGTGTCTATAATTTATCCATCATTACGGGAGAGAAAAATAAATAGGCCACGCTACCTGGTAGCATACGGTACCGGTAGGTCAGGATTTTCATATTTCGGCGCGGCGGTGTGGCTCAAAGGGCTAAGCGTTAGCAATACGCTATCCACCGCACCTCTAATTACTCTGCGTGGGTTCGCAGGTTCGAATCTCATGCAGGGATGGTTATGTGCGAGAGGATTGCTGGACTCCTCACCGTCGTTGGGTGGTTCACGTAACCGCTGGTCGGTTACCGTACGGCTTCCTCCACCGTCAAGTCCATGCTTCCGAAAACAAACAATATAACTAAACCCATACCGCAGTACAGCTCACTATCCAAATTCCAAGAATTTCCCTCCATTTAGCTCAATAAAACAAACACTCCATGTGTCTCACAAACGAGGGGTGTCTGGGACCACGACAGATGCTTCATATCACGCCATGCTTGTCTCAATAATAATCTAAATTAATCGCGGCCGTCACATGACCAAAATTGCCGTTTTTTGCTGAAAACTCTCGAATGCTACGGTAAAATTTTTTTTCCTCCGGTAAATCGGATTATTTTTTTCCCAAGGAATTCAATGATGACGTTACTAGATTGCGCTTTTTTGTAGTATTTTGCACAACTTCATTATACTGTAGTATTATTGATATTGAGGGACAACAATGTCCAGACGTCTCCCGAAGGAGGGGTGTCTGATCACCTGTAAAATGGGTTTCTCTGAAACGGGACGATGTAACCCGATTTGTATAGTGTGCCGTACTGTACCGGTACCCGACTTGGAATGGTACGGTAACTGGACGAGAGGCCGTGGTTCACCATATAGATAAGCTGTCTTATCGGCTTTCCTCTCCCCCGGGATAAATATGTAAATCCTATCCTATTTCTGTGCCGGTACCGTACCCGGCGTACCGTACCCCGTACTGGTAGCCTACCTATGTAGTTTCGTACCGGTACCTGACATACTTCGAGTGGGCGTAGCATGACAATTGTTTCACGTGTCATTCCTAACCCCCACCTGACTACGCCATCCAAAAATTACGTCACTACGACGTCACAGTGACGTAATAGAGCCCTTCAAACTATACCGGTACGAAAAATCGAACGAGACTCAGTTTTTACCACTTCATGGCAGCTCTTGCCACGAATGAACCGTGGCAGCCATGGTTTTATAGCGCTATTCAGTTAACGTATCAGTATTACGGTATAATCACAAAATAATGTACCAGATTTCAATTGATCATGCGGAATTATATCTACTTAAACCCTAACCCTAACCCCAAATCCATCAAAACTGTATCCATAAGAAAAACTTACCCAATATTTGTCATCATAAGGGACAGCCCTGTCTTTACGGCCCACCTGCCGTGGTTACGGCAGCAAAATTTTACCTGCCATTGGTTTTGAATTTGCTGCCGCGCTAACGGCAGCTCGTCATTGGTTTGTGGCAGCTAAAAAATCAGTCGCCATAGGTTTGGCCATAGCGGCCATGGTATGGAAATACCGCCATGGTTTTGAGGCAGCTGCAGACGCCACAGAATACTTAAAACTGCACTTGAATCGAACAGCTATTTCTCTCGTTTTCTCGTTGCTACCAAAGTCGCTACGATCCCAATAGGAGAGAGATCGATGACGTTAGTCAGTCCTTATGTCACCATCACGTCATAGGGCTTGCTAAATTAAAAATTACGATAGCCCGAAATGGCATCTGCGTCGCTGATAACAAACTCGCTGAAGTCGGCGATCTCTTTCCTATCGTGATCCAGTGACGAGAAAACGAGAGAAATAGCTTGCTAGATTTCAGGTGATTGTCTGCGCGCTTTGGACGACCATCCGCATACTTTGGTGAGCCTCATTACGCCACTGTGACGTGGAAATGACGTACTTTTCTGGTGATGTAGTCAGGTGGGGGTTAGGATTTACATATGCAAAAATTGTTGAGCCAGGCCAACTAGAAGTGCATGTGGTACTAAACCATACCAGACCCTTTATCTCTGTCTCTAGAGTTAGTTGAATCTTGTGTATAAGCACTTTCAATGTAGTTTAATAAAATAACTTAATTCTGCTGGCATTTTTGTGAATATCGATCATACAGCATCATGGCGACGACGGCAACTTCATTATCAATTGTCAAAGAACTTCGGAGGCTTGCCAGTGTGCACACTAATCGTCAATACATGCTTCGGAACGACGTAAATTCTTTGCTCATATTTACTGACCCAGATGAGCAGCCTTCAGTGGTTATTATTGAAGCTTTGCATGCATTTGCGCTACCCTTGCACAAGAAGCGGTACGCAACGAACGCCAGCTTCATCATTTTCAAAATACTGTCGGATTGCGAAGTTTTGCTAAACAAAATTGCTGGAAAGAAAATTTTAATGAGATTGTAAAAAAATTAGCGTCGGAGATCTTGTTTTTTAAGCAAATGTAATGTCCGTTCCAGTGTCTGTTGAAAATAACAGTGGTGTTATTTACCAGGGCTGGGATGGAAACGCTAGAAAAGCTGGCAAAGAACCAGTGAAGTTCTTGGGGGTAACAAAAAGCTAAAGTCATAATCTCCAAATCGAAGGACTTGATGGGGAGGATAAAAAACAAGAGTGTACAAATGAGCTCCTACGAGTAACTGGCGTTATTTCGATTACGTTTAACATGGCGTCGCAAAGATGTACTATCCGAGCCCGATCTGACATGCATGCGGAAAGTCTTGTCACGCAATCCATAACACACGGAAAATGACGGCGAAACAAGTCATGAAAAACGAAAGCGGGGAGGAAGTCCTTGTTTCCTTCGATGATGCAGACAGATCAGACGAGTTACCCCCCTATTTAGAAGAGGACTTGGGGGATTCCCCTAATAAGGAAGAAAATAAGCAAAGTGTGGCGCGGCCTGGATATACAGAAGCAGTGGGAAGTTTTGCAAAGTCCTGGTTCGGCAGCGTAGTGAGTGCAGTTAATAAAAACCTTTATTGGTGAAACTGTTTTATGAAAAAACTGCGGACTTTTGTAAATATCTTCATGCAATTTCATATTAGTATCCCTTCCACGAAAAATTGGTCCAGAAAATTACTGTCAAAAAAACATTAGCGTTAAGGGCGAATTTTATATTAATGGAACATCTTCCAGTGGGAACTATTGTACTACAGGGGTGGTGACTCCTCTACGACCCATGGGCCGGGGCCACGGCCCATCTAATTGGGCCACATTGGGCCACAAGCTTGATGGGCCGCGGCCCGTCAGGAAAAATTCAATTATCTTACCAAAATTTTCAATTTTTACAAAATTGTCAATATTCGAACCAAAAAATAAACTCCTGTAGTATGTGTACCAGGTTAGTTAGGCAAAATTTTGTTCAGATTTTTTACATTATAGTTCTATTATGAGTTTGGGGACTGTTTGTGTTAGCCAAGTGAATAGTTTCTTTACACAACTTGATGGGCCGCGGCCCATAGCCTGATGGGCCGAGGCCCAATTTGATGGGCCGTGGCCCCGGTCCATGGGCCGAAGAGGAGTCACACTTCCACTCCTATTGTAGGAGGTATTCTCATGGTAAAAATTTTCAGCATTTCAGTTTATTGGTTTTGTTTGTCATCGATATAGAACAACATTTTTTGCCACTGCGTCACGAACGAGTTTTCAATGATAATAGTTACTATACTACTTATTTTCAGTATAGTAATATTTTCTGATTAGCATTTATGAAGGACTGGGTAGTCCGATACAAGCTGTACCTTTTACTCATTTTAATTTGAGTCTTTTCCAGTTTGGGAATTATCATTAAAAGCTTAAAATGATAGTTTCTCATTCACCATATCTGAAATTCTGACTGTTTCCTATTTACTGTACTTCAAGTTTTTATCGAAATGTTTCTAAATATGTTCAATATTTGATTTGAGATTAAGTATTGTTAGGAAAGCATAGACATAGAATCCTTCTTGTAGTTGATTTTAATTTTGAATGGTCTGAAATTCTGAATATATTTGATTTTGTGGCGCTCCAGAAGTATGTGTACCAATATGGAGGTAACTAATTTTGTTTTTCCTTTTACGTCAAGTTGTCTAAAGGGACTGAAACCTATGGACAGGGGGTATATTTACTTGGCTAACACAAACTGTCCCCGAACTCATAACAGAACGAAAATAAGGAAAATCGGAATAAAATTATGGCTTAACCCTAACCTGGTACACATACTACGGGAGTATAATTTCGCACATTTGCAGTAATGAGATAGCAAATTGAAAATCTGCTTGTAGTAAGTAGTTTCAACTAAAAATTCCTTGCCTGAACAATTTAGAAAAATTAAACAAATATTGCAGAACATTTATCTACCAGCAAGAAGCAAATGATTGAAGTTTTGCTAACGTTTTGAATTTCTATACAGATACACTTCATAAGGGTTTTACAAACTTTTTAAGCGGCGCCCCCTTTTTAGAATTTTACAAGTCTCGCGCCCAACCTAAAAAATATCTAGCTGACAATAGTCTACGGAATAACAGATAGTAACGAGAAAGTATATTTTTTATTCAAAAAACACGCAGAAAATATGTGGGTGTGATTGCAATCTCCAAACAATAAAAAAATATAAATATCCAAAATAAAGCAGGCAAGATCAAATCTAACAAATAGTTTTACTTTTAATTAGCTTCACTTTGGGGGGGGGGGACGCGCACCATCGTTTGAGTGAGAACAACTAGTATAGACATTCAAAACATTGGTAGTTATTATTTGCCTTATACTAAATTGCTTTCTGAATATTGCAGACCCTCAAATTTATATATTCGAACAAATGTGATGTCCTTTCTAATTTTGGTATATTTGACCCTCATCTCAACCTAAAAATCAATGGTGTGTGAACTGGCAGCAAAAGTAATACCCAATTATGGTACAAAAATTCTGTCAATTCATGCTCTATTGATTTTTGGTAATTAGTAATCTGAAGTATACCAATGTAAGCATATTTTATGTATCATCATTTTACTGCCATTATTTCTATCCACCTCATCTTAGCTTTTTGAAAAAATTTAGGAATTTTATTTGACAATTTATTTTACCTGTTTAGCATTGAAATTGCCAATTTGCTGGTGGTTTTGCTTCAAATGAAATATTCATTTTTCGAAACTTTTCTTACTTGCTGTGTTTTATGTCTAGCAAGCTAATGACGAAAGCCGAGGTTACCAAAAGCAAATAAAAATACCATAATAACATTTTGAAATTTCTCTCATTCGGTATCCAAGTCTAGAAAAGATCCCCGAAAAAAATTGACAATTTTGAAATTGGAAATTTGGAAATTTTTTAAATTGGAACAACCCTGGCAGAACATTACGAAACATACTGCCAATCACATTGCTCAGTGGCCATTTTTCCTGTGTTTACATCTTTGCTCCCAAAAAGCAAAAGCATATAAATTATCGTATTAAAAAATGCATGTTGAATCCTTATTGGCAACTGTCAAACATCAATATGCCACTACGTACAATTTTATTTGGTCTTGCCTACTTCAGTTCAATCTAAATCTCGCTAAGAAATATGAAAGCGAATAATAGCAGCACTGGCAGATGTCTGTTTGGCCTGTATGTTTCTGGCTAGTCACGCTCTGTTTCATTTATTTCTTGTTGTTGAAAAATATTAATGTACTATAATTGACCGGACTATTTTTATCTTCACTTTTTGACATAATTTTTGATTTTTTGTGTTTTCAATAAAATAGGTTCAGGTAAATAGTAGAATTAAGTTTAGGATAACTGCAATGGAAGCTACTGGAATTTGATTATCATCATGCCAGATTTGTCTTCAATTTAACTAATGGAATCACCAAAGCGATTAATGACAGCATGGATTACAGTGTGTATGGATAGAATTGTTCTGGCAGTTCATGCTTCAATAATTTCTAGTAAAGAAAGAGGTTTTATTAAGATTTCGAGGATATTGTTTTCGCAATCGATCAGTTGGGATTCATATCTAGGGCTGTGAAGCATTCAGACTACAAAGCTGACAATAATTCTTGGACTTGAGAAGTTGAAGGTAATTTTGACTCAAACTTTGAGATTCCCGGGTTGGGAATCCATTGGAATCCCGGGTTTTTGTTGGTAGGTGGGGTAGTTCGTTTTTAAATTTAGAGTTCGCTCGACTTCTGGGTATTGCTGCATTCTGTTTGTTCGCTTACTTTTCAAGTTTTTTTCCCGATTAATTATTGAGAACCAAAGTGAATTGGTGATTACTTGTATTATGTTGCCTGTTGAATCATACAATTTGCCATCACTGTTGGCCATACTGGCCATCGAATGTGTGAATTCTTCATCTGTTCCATATTGTCTAGTGTTGACCAGTCTTTGCATTCTGTTTGTTTGGGTTTTCAAGTTATTTGGATTTATATCAGATAGCTAATATAAAATAATTGATTGTTCATATTAGTTTATATCATCTAGGTTCCGTCAGTACAGTCTATGGGTTCCGTAAGTTTTTATATACTGAAGTCTGTACTAATTTATTTGGTACTCCCGTAGTATGTGCTCCACGAGGGCGGACAGCGGAACATAGTATGTGTACCAGGTTAGGGTTAGGCCATAATTTTATTACAATTTTCCTTTATTTAGTTTCATTACGAGTTCGGGGACTAGCCATGTGACTCCAGTAGTATTTGTACCTGAATTTATGGTCTAACCCTAACTTGGTACACATACTATGTTCTGGTATCCGCCATCTTGGTATGCATATGTACAGAAATAAATTACAGATGCATCATAATTTGAAGTTTCAGATACAAATACTACGGGAGTCACTCGTCTAGTCCGCCATCTTGGTTCATATACTACGGTAGTACCATTTATTTATATTGCTTGAATATATTCAAATATATATTAGATTTGACACTATTATTTAACTCACCACACAATAAGATAAGTATTGATTATTCAATATGCTTGAGATATTTATTAGGTACATATGAGAATGTTTCACAGCCAAATTGAAATATTTTAGTTTTTTTTCACAGTTCTAGCTTCATTCTATCATATCATAGTGGTATCGTTTGTTGAATTTGGAAGTTTGTCTGAGGTAGGTTTCATGTTTTTAATTGAACATGTTACAGGAACTTTCGTGTTGATATTTCGCTTTCATCAGTATGAAGCGCGACCCAATTTTAATGTTTTAGGTTTTTGTAGAAAAAGCATGCGAACCCAAGTAATATTGTAGGCAAGCGTGCGAACTCGAGTAATTTTGCAGGCGAGTCAGTTTTGGGCCCCGGCGTTGAGAAACCCTGGCCTTCCTAATTACACAACATCAAGTTTTGCATTGATAGTAAATTGCATTTTTTCTCATACATTAACATCTCATCTGATGCAAAAGTGGGTCGCGAACTGAATAAGCTTAGTAAGCACTGCTGTATAAGACTTGCAATATTAGATATGAATGAATTATTGAGTCACATGATGTTATTTTCTGCGCTCACAAATCTAGTTTTATTCGGCGCGGCGGTGTGGCTCATCGTGCTAAGCGTTAGGAATACGCTCGCCACCACACCTCTGATTACTCTGCTTGGGTTCGCAGGTTAAAATCTCATGCGGGGATAGTTATGTGCGAGAGGACTGCTGGACTCCTGCCGCCGTTGGGTGGTTCACGTAACCGCTGGTTGGTTACGGCTTCCTCCACCATCAAGTCCATGCTTCCTAAAACAAATGACTGACTAATCCCATACTCGACATGGAATGGTAACTGGACGAGAGGCCGTGGTTCGCCATATGGTTACGCCGTCTTTTTGGCTTTCCTCTCTTCCGGGATAAAAATGTAAATCCTATCATTGACATTGTATGTTAAATTTGAAAGTTTGCCTGGCGGATGTTTCATGTTTTTTCATAGAATGTATTACATGAAATTTGGTTCGATTCGCTCCACAGAAGTATAAACATGCAGTTTAGGAATTGTTCTATATGTACCCTTTAATATAGGAAATCCTGTAAGTCTACGGAAATATTTAAGAAGAGTTTTGAGATGTTATTACTTATCGATCTTGATCGGTAAGTATGTTGATAGGTGTTTGTCTGTCTGTTAGATACACTCGATATCTCACGAAGGCAAGGTTGAATCTGCGCCAAATTGCATGTGCATTCATCATATCTCGGACCAGAAGCCTATTGATTTTGGATGAATTATGTCATATAACCAGTGAGTTATTATTTAATTAGTAATGGGGCATGCGGTGTCGCTATTGAGTCAAAGTGAATAATACACGCCGCTAGATTGATAGTCGGCGTTCTCTGATCGCTATCTCATTAATTCTTTTCTTATAGTATTTTGCTCATTGAGCTGCCTTATAGACAGACAGTAGGTTAGGAATGGATATATTGCAGAGGTGACGAACTTGCGGCCCGCCAAGGACTTTCGTGCGGCCCACGAAGCATTCAGACAATTCAGTGTATGTTTGGTGTAAAGTCACAAACCTCCAAGAACTGTACAGAGAGAACGGAAGTGCAAGTGTTATCGTATTCATATTACTGGCAACAACACTATTTCCAACACATCTATTTTTTTGGATCATCGATACCTCTAACAATGGATCAAAAATCAAAATGACCATTGTCGTAGCATAGTTACGCCCTCTTATCGGCAAACGCATACGGTTTAATAGAGAAGAAGTGATCTCACTTTATGAAAATGTGATATTTTTGTGCACAATACACGTGAAATTTGAAAGTAATAAAAAGTTTATAACTTCTGCTCAACGATTAAAACAGTGGTAGATCTCAAAAAAATGCCTACGTTTTAAAATTTAGTTAATCGTAATTAGAGGGATTCGTTTACAATTTTGTATCCGAAGGCCTGCGAAATACGGATCTTTTGTACAAAGCCTCCATCACTAATGCAAAAATGTGAAATTTAAAAAAAAACACGTTCTGAAATAACAAGTTAGTAACTATCCAGTTGCGGTTCGGGTTAGGAAAGCTTTGAGGTTTTGAATTTCCGACGCAATCTGGATTCTTAGCCCCCACCCACTCTAAAAATGTAATTGAATTATTTATAATTTACATTCAATTTTGAGCGGAGGCGGTGTTTTTTTATAAGGAATTTTTTTGTACAAAGGATCCCGAAATACCTCTCTGAGGCATTATCAACTAAAATTTTGCATATTAACGCGACACAAAATGTCCTGAAGAAAGATTCGATAATGCGTAGGTTGATATTATCATTGGGGGAAAGGGTAAATCGTAACGAATCCTTAAATTTTTATGCAACTGTCGACGCAATTAGGCAGGTCACTCGTGAAAAGAGCCCACTTTTTCGACGAATAATGTTTTTTACTGTTATGTTATGTTGTCGTTTAGCGATTTTGCAGTTGTGCAAAGTATTTCATTGGCGACCATTAGAAGTCTATTTTTAATTTATTGCTTTCTAACTTTAACTCTGTGTTTAATGCAATATGCGGCTGCGTCTACAAATTAAGAACATTACTATGATAAAATATCACATCAATCTACGGCCATTAAAAGTGTTTCCAACTGCCAGATTATATTTAGTTTTGATTCATATTTTTGCAATGTTACGAATTAGTTATACATAGCAAATAGTCATAGTCAATTTTATTTTTTCCAACCAGCAAAAAAATAACATACAAAATCAAAAAATAAACAAAATTTAACACACATTTTTACTGGGGAAGGGAAGCCGCGGGGAATCAAATTTGGTTACCGAGCAGCGACACCCAAATATGATATACAAATATGATGTTCTTGCATCACTGACTGTCTCTATCACTAAATATTTATATCAACGTCCGAGAAATCCCTAGATCTGCTATAAAATATCAAAGACCTCAATTTATTTCAATCAGTACATTGAAAATTGATTTTGCATTAACACGCAGGTAGTAGACTCAAACTTTCGTGTTACAAATGCTGTGGTATTCGAATGGAAATTCGGATCTCGAACATCCGAGCTGAGCGTTTATATTGCATTATATAATTGAATAACATCAGCTGTATGGATGCCGTTGTTCGTTTTGTAGTTGAAAATCAACAGGTATCAAATGGTAGTACGACTAAAAATTGTGCGGCCCGCTCACTCACGGTGACTGATAAAGTGGCCCGCGACAGCAAATGGGTTCGTCACCCCTGATATATTGTCACAATCACATATGAATGGCCTCATTTGTAGAGGGTTATTGGGTTGTTAATTAGTAATGGGGATTGATATATTATGGCCTCGATCGCTATTTGAATGTCTCATCCATTGAATGCTATCGGACTGCTATAAAGACAGCCGGTTCAACAGCCTTTCAAGACTGCATGATAACTAAATTTGTTCAACTGTATTCTGTAACTTAGATTTCTAAAATGAATATACCAATAGTAGATATTGCAAGATGTGGACTAACAGTGGAAAGCGAAGAAAAAGTCTCGGAGGCTGACCTATTTGACATTGGGAAAAAGTTATATGAAGCGTTCTCATCCTCGGGCTTTGCTTACGTAACTAATCATGGCATTCCAGATGAAATCATAAAAGATTTGAATAAAGTCGGCGAGGAATTTTTCTCCCATTCTCTCGAGTATAAGATGAAGTTTGCTTCAAAAAGTATCGGGCTTTGCTACGATAACTATCAATCTTTCCAAGCAAATTTGGAACGACCGCATGATATGAACGAGGGCATTCGCTTCCCTGCTAATATGGGAGACAACGAGTGGCCTGATGTCGACAATTTGAAAGTAAGAGTGACGGAAATGCAACGTTTATGTAGAATATTGCTGATGAGAGTTTTGAAAGCTCTCGGACGGGCAATGCGATTAAGCGATAAAAACTTGTTCGCCAAGTCACATGAATTAGTTGGCAAAGATGGCAACACATCATGCTTTAAATTTATATACTATCCTGCCTTGGGACCTGGCGTTGAAATACTTGAAAACCAGATTAGATGTGGAGAACACACTGATTTTGGCTCGTTAACCTTTCTGTTCCAAGATGACATTGGCGGACTACAAGTAAAAACTTTAGACGGAAATTTTGTTGACGTGAGACCTATTCCTGGCACCATGCTCGTTAATGTCGGTGAGATGCTGCATTATTGGAGCGGTCAGCGTTTGAAAGCAACAGTCCACCGAGTGGTGAACCCAACAGACGAATCTCGAAAAATGAAGCCAAGAAGATCTTTTGTGTATTTTGCCATCGTTGATAACGACGTTTCGTTAGACGAGTTAGATTTTGATGATGATCTTGGGAAAAACGGAAAACATGAGGCAATTACATCACTTGAACTTTTTAACAGACTTTTTGCCATGAAATGTCATAACAATCAGAAAAACTAATCAACATGTATATAAAGTGTGTTCGTAAAGTCCCGAACGTTGCTTTTGCTGGTACCTTGTGTCACGCCATTGTTTGTGGCAGTCAAAAGTCAGCCACCATGGTTTGGCATTCCTGCCATGGTTTTGTGGCGTCGTCATAACTGCACTTGCTTTTGGGGAAAAAAAATATATACATGGCAGCCTTAGATGCTTTTTAAATTTAAAATGTTTCCAAGATTCAAGAACACGCTGTATATCAAGGATTGTAATGTATTTGTATTTATATTCCATTTAATTGAATCTTATCTTATTAAAATTTATTTTTCATGCTTATATTTTTTATTATGCTTTGTCAATTCATATAATTTTCTGGGTCAAACCATGTGCCGTAAATTGGGATGGCAACGCTGAAAAAAAAACATTTTGGTGCTTCCAATATTAGTAACTCCCTAAAGTTGTTGATTTACGAAATTTTTATTATGCTGATGCAGTATTTACCAATTAATTCATATAACTGTTATGGCTGACATTTTCTTTTAATTTTTTTGTCATTATGCAGTATATAACAATTCATATATATTACATATATATCATTTTTCACAGATTCATTCAAAATTTTAGTAATGAATTTGTCAGGACAGTCAGATGACTGTACTAATGTATATACAGCTGTGAAATCTGTGAATATTGAAGTATTGAAAGAATTATTGGAACATGGGAAGGATTATAATGAGAAGGATAAAGAAGGGTGTGGGCCTATACACCATGCAGCTTATAACGGACATTTTGAATGTGTGAAAATAATTTTTGAAAAAGCGAATTTGGATTATAACTCCGTGCCTAAAGTATTAGAGAAGGTGTTATCACCTAGTGTTTATCATTGTAGTACACCATTATCTCTTGCTGCTATGCAAGGACATTATGAAATTGTCGATTTTTTCGCTGATATTTATCGAAAAGCTGAAGTACATGTAAACAAAATGGGATTTCCTTTGCACAAAGCATGCAGGCATGGACATAATAAATGTATTGAGGTGCTTGTGAAAAAACTTCCTCAGTGTATTAATGTGATGGAACTTTCTGGATGGCAGATGCACCCGATACATTTTACAGTCGAGGAACAGAATTTGGAAGGTACCAAAATTTTATTACAAAATGGAGCTGACGTTAATACAACATGCATTTTCAGTCGCACACCTCTGTATCTTGCCGTTTGGAAAAATAATTATGGAATCGTGAAACTTCTTGCTGATAAAGTACGTGATATAGACGCTTATGATGATGACGATTGTACTCCGTTATTCTTAGCGGTAGTAAAAGGATATGTTGAAATAGTACGCTGTCTGCTTGACAACGGGGCTGACGCTTCGAAGCCTGCAGATTACGGTCAGATATTGTATCCCAAATTGCCATGCATTCCTATGGATATAGCCGTAGACTATCTGGATTTTGAAATCATTAAATTATTAGCGGATGGTACACCCCGTGACAAAGGTCTTAATGCTGTTATTCATGCAGCTTTGAATGGAAATACGAATTGTTTGATCCATTTGTTTGACAGGGGATTCCCCACGTTTGATTCAACAACGAAAATTTATGATACGCTTGTGTGGGTCTGTTTACTACAAGAGTGCCCAGATAAATTTTGCGCAGAAACAATAAAAATTCTTTATAACCATGGAACTGAATTTAAAGAATTGGCAAAATTTGATGAAAGTGTATGTATTGTCGAAATTTATCTTTTGCCTGACGTATTCGCTGATTTAAACATCGAAGCTTTGAAAGAGTTTTTAAATGCAGGAATTTTAGAAATACGGTTCGAATATAGCATGTCTCCTGATGTAGAATCCATAATTAAAAAACATAAAAATTTTCAAAATGATTCGAGTTTAAAAAGAGACATTCCTGGAATATTATTCTGTTTAAATTATTTTCCGTTTTTGACAATTTCATTCGGAAAGTCAGAACCAACAGAGGAAAATTTCTCGGAAGGAGACCTAGTACAAAATATACCTTCGTTGTTAAATTTATCTAGATGGTTCATCGATGTTTGATTATAAAAAAGAAAGGCATGGTTCGACAAGATTATGTCGAGAGTTTGAAACTTCCAAAAAAAATCACAGCGTTTTTATTGCATTGCTGACTTAAAAGGTTTGTGGCCACTTTAGTAGGCCTATGCGATGAAACTATGTGATTCCCAATTGTTGGTCGGAAACGGCTTCCTCCACCTCCAAGTCAATGTTTTCTAAAACAAATAACTGTCAACTAATCCCATACCTGACATGTACTGGTAACTGCACAAGAGGCCGCTTTTCACCACATATGATCAAGCCGTAATATCGGCTTTCCTCTCCCCCAGGATAAATATGTAAATCCTATCATATCCAGTTAGGTTAGGTAAATAAGTATTTCATCGCATGTTTTAACCATTTTATTTTTTATATTGTCCAACTTGGTTGCCCTTGAAGTTGACTACATTAATGTGCAATTTATATTTTATTTTTCCCTGACTTGTCTGCGCTTATTTTGTATATGTTAGTGTGTGGATTTATAGCATATGCATGGAAGCCTTTGCATGACAATTTTACCGGTATAACAATTTTTGGCGCTCCTGCAGTATGTGCACCAAGATTGCAGACACTGAAATGTAGTATGTGTACCAGGTCAGGGTTAGGACATAATTTTATTCTAATTTTGCTTATTTTATTCTATTACGAGTTCGGGGACTATCCAAATGACTCCTGTAGTATTTGTACCTGAAATTATGGCCTAACCTGGTACACATACTACGTTCCGGTGTCAACCATCTTGGTTCACATACTACATGAGTACCCAATTTTCTAGTAAATTTGATCGTTATTTTATATTTGATATTGAAGTGTTGCTCAATAGTAATTGTATATATGGGAAGCATCATGGCATAAAAACTTTGCCACGTACCTATTATCATCCATGGATTGCTCAATGATGGTGCCATGTTGGCCACATTAGCTAGCACTAATTTAATTCCAACACAATGTACATCACCCACTCGGACTAGAAAATCTTGTCATGTAGGCAGGCACATGTAGTATGAGTGTCATCGTGTGAAGTGTTCGGATACGCTTGTCACCGCCCACCGCACCTCTGATTACTGTACGTGGGTTCGCAGATTCGAATACTATATGGGGTTTGTTATGTGCGAGAGGATTTCTGGACTCCTCGTCGCCGTAGGGTGGTTCACGTAACCGCTGGTCGGTTACGGCTTCCTCCACCATCAAGTCCTGGCTTCCGAATACAAATAACTAACTAATCCCCTACCCGACATGGAATGGTAACCGGACGAGAGGCCGCGGTTCGCGATATGGTTAAGCCATCGTATCAGCTTTCCTTTCTCCCGGGATGAATATGTAAATCTTATCCTATGCTCCTAGAATGAGGTTTTGCTGTTTAAGAGATGCTCAATTTACTATTTACAGAGAAATAACTATATTGGTGTTTAATCTAAAATGTTGGTGAAAATTTAAAATCCTCAAATCTTGTTTAAAAATATTTCTTCTACTTACAGATATAGTTATAAGAAATAACTAGTTTTGTTACTAACATTATAATGGCTTCAAATACTTCGGACGAGTACAGCTTATGGGAAACAGATGGAAAAATTGATCAACCACTAGAGGGGGTATCTGTGGGGAGTAGCTCAAACGATGGTAAAACTCACACTTTCACGAAATTTCCATCATCTGCGGTCGATGAAGAAGATGATGAGGAGACTGGTGGCGATTCCGCAAAGTTGGTGAATAAGAAATCGTCGCCGATATGGAGTTTCGATTTCTACAAGGAATTATTTGATGTCGATACGTACGTTGTTCTGGGAAGAATCAAAGGTTCAGTTCTGCCTATTCCGAGCGCTGATTACCATAGGAATTATATCGGTGGAAATCCCGATGTCTATGGGCCTTTCTGGATCTGCGCAACGCTTGTTATGACGATAGCTATATGTGGGAATTTGACAACCTATTTCAACAACTTCTCTGACGTGAATTACAACTATAATCCGGAATTTCATCGTCTCGTAATTGCGATGGTGATCGTTTACGGATACACTTTTCTGATCCCATTAGTCATTCGTGGAATATTATTTTTCACAAAAATGCAAGCCAGTTATGGGTACCTCGACATTCTATGCTTATACGGTTACTCGATGTTCATGTTCATCCCTCTCTCGTTTCTACTTCTGATTCCGAATTGCACGGTTGAGTGGATTCTTGTTGTCATAACAGCGGTTATTTCTGGCATGGTGATTCTCGTTAGCCTCTGGCCGAAAATGCGCGAGGAAGGAACTAAACGAACAATGATTATACTGGCAGTTGTTTTCGTCCTACATTTTGCTTTTTCACTCAGTTTTAGATTATATTTTTTCAGCTCAATTAAGTGTTCCCCCTGGATGGATAGTAGTAATTCTACTGTAGTGAACAACACCACCCAACCTGCTATAATTGCAACCACTCATATTGGCACCATCGCCGCTTAAATTTTTCGTTTCGTATATGCAAAATACCATGTATGAGAAACATTACCAGAGGTTTTTACTCTGGCATTCAGGAAAATTTTCAACACAGAGTTGAGGTCAATTGTAAATTTTGGTCTAGTAGTATATTGCATGTCTTCACAACCCTGTGCCATATTCATTCAGTACTTCAAATTTTCCAAATTAAAACTACTTGGTAGCCTACAATTTTCCACAATTTTATTTTTTCATTGTTCGCGGGCCACAATAGTGCCAAGAATGGGTAAACAGTGCAATACAAAACAAACACATGTGGCCCGCGGGCCTGAGTTTGGACCACCCTAGTCTAAACACTTAACTGAAATAGAAATGCTTTTCAAATTTCTGTTTATATTAATTTGTATTTTGTATCAGAAATCTGTAGTTTTGTTTTAAACCTGGGAGTGGGGGGTAAAAAATTTTGTGGCAAGTTTGGTTCAGTTTGAGTTTTTCAGTTTTATTACTGCTAATGGAGGCTGCAGTGATGCACAATTTTGAATAATGAGCTTCTAATCAATTAATTTGAATGGTTAAATTATTTTCAATTAATCAAGATGCATATTTTTTTTATTTAATACTACTTATATTGGTATTGTATATTAGTTCAAGTAATATAGGTTTGAAACAACTATGCCATTTTGTGTTCATTTCCGCGTAAAGTATAACCAGATATGGAGTATTTATGTTTGTAATAGTCATAGTCAATCAGCAAAGTAATAAACGATAATAATGCGAATATGCGGAAATGTCGAGAATTAACCCCTCTCTTTTCATAATTCTACTGGAAAGAAAAGCCGCCGGGACCAAAGCTGGTTATTAAGCATTATGATTTAGAATTACTTATTAAGTTTATTTTGATTTCCCTAAAAAAACAAAGAAAGAACACACAAAATATAAACGAGAATATCGGTCGGAGACCGAAGACTTACCGATCAAAAGTTACTTACTCTTACTCCATAGCGACACCGTGTGTCACATCTCTAATTAATTAATAACTCGCTAATTATACGACATAATTCATCTAAAATCAATAGGCTTCGAGATATGATGAATGCACATGCAAAATTTGGAGGAGATTCAACCTCGCTTTCGTGAGTTATCGCGTCAATCTAACAGACGGACAAATACCGGACCTCCTGAAGTATGCTCACCGAGATGGCGCACAACCTGAACTCCGGTTGTGTACCAGGTTAGGGTTAATGTTGTGTGGCATCTTGGTGCGCATACTTCAGCATGGCACAAATACCTATCAACATACTTACCGATCAAGATCAATAAGTAAAATGAACTCACGAAAGTCGGGATAAAACGAGCAAAATGTGAAGTAGAGTTTGAAACACGCAGAAATACCGTTTGGCCCGTTTACCCATATCACACATACAAACATATTCTAAAAAATAAAAATAGTTTCGTTATGGCGTCTAACTTGTGTAACATAAAAAAACTGCAGACACAATGGGATCCATTTTGAAATTGTCTACGTCAAAGCGGACATGATTGGATAATATTTTTCGTGACCTGTTATTGGCGAGCAATTGGTTGTATCGAAGATGACACAACAAAGCTACGTTAAACGCCCCGTCCACTGAGACGAACTGCACCGAAAACCGGAATTAACTTATAGCTGTTGGTTTTTATCTTAAGGTTGACTATTCTCACTACTCCACATGCACGACATTGCCTGATAGCTTGCCGCGGATCGCTGAAATGTTGAGTTCAAATTCAATTGGTTTCTCGCGGTTCCCCTCACCCTGAAATGCTTTTCAATTATTGATTTCAATTCGTAAATTAAGTGTGCTTTCAATATGGTAATAAGATAAATTACTGATTACTGAGCCATCTAGTCAGCGACACCTAACTTGAAGATGAAAATATAACAACCGAACAACTCAGTATTAAACATTTACGTAAAACACAATCATACAAAGAAAGATTCCAACCAGTGAGTATCTGTGGTTCAGAGATTCCAACATCAGGGAAAAATTACTCAACGTAATAGAAAAAAAGCACAAAAGTAATTTATATTGAGCCCAGTGGCTTATCTAGGTTATGGTAGCCATGGCTCGAGCAAAATAAGGGCTATGACTGTACCCAGTCAGGCCAGCCTGTCTGTCACTGTGCCAAGGTGATATTCACTTTGGTCGTTGCTATGCTGTTTGCTGCCCATGGTTACCCCTCCCGTACTTGACGGTGCCCGGAGTCTCTTTTCTGTAACAAATTTGGTTTTTGGACTTTAATATTTGATATATTAATTTATAGATATATTGTTCGTCTTATTTCTATTAAACTTGTATCAAAGTTAGACTCTCATCACATTTGTCGCTGCTCGATAATCAACTTTGGTTTTTCGCGGCACTTTTCACCATGAAATGTAATTTTCAACTTTTTTTAAGTTTATCACTGTTATTCACTGCGAGTGCATTTTCATTTTGATGAAAACTAACCTACTGACTGACTGACTGATTGCGCAAAGATTGGAAATCATTTGAACTGGTATTTTACTTAATTATTAACGTACAAGTATCTCAATTCAACAACAGTCGTTGAAATTGTAAAGTCAGCGATCAAGGGGGTGATTTTAAAACTTTGCCATAGGCGCCATTTTTGTAAATACGCCTCTGATTAAACCACATGGTGGTAAAAATAATAACACGCAAGACGAAAATTCAGAAACAGTTGCCGAAACTCGAAGTTTGAACATGCGTAAGATAATACTAATCAGTACCGTAATTTATTTTCCCGCCAATGCTAAAAATAAGAGGATTATTAAAAGGATCTTCTTGTTGTTTACTAGTTGTTGTGAAGTAATTTCCGATCACATGCTGTCTATTTCTTGATCTTACAAAGATACGGCATACTCTGCTTCTGAATAGGCCTACATGTTTGATATTGTATATATTCAAGAATATAATTGTCTAATTTCAGTTTAAATCCATGATTTAAATCAGGGGTGTGCAAACAGCGGCCCGCGGGCCAAATGCGGCCCGCAAGAAGAAGTTGTGCGGCACGCGGAGAAATAACAATTTCGAATGGTGTACCCGCAAAACGAGTATTTATTTTTTTTCGTCGCAAAGCCCATACCAGTCATATTAGCAAAACAAGCTAGCAAAATTCTGTTGCAAAATACACGATTTATATTACAAAAACGTGTTTCTCACTGCATTCGTTTGAAGTCGGTGTGACAAAAAATTTAAATAGCAGTTTCTTCGGAAGTTTATGCGTTTTAAATCTACTATTTCTGCAAAAACTCCTAATAATGCCGTAAGATCAATAGCAAATATAGGCAATTTTTGTGCTTGCAACTACCAGGAAGCCTAAATTAAATAAAGGTGCGGCCCGCGGCTTCACCCAGTTACTTGTACTTGGCCCGCCAATAAAAAAGGTTGCACACCCCTGATTTAAATTATTACAATTACCTAATCCTCTTTCTTATTTAGAATGCGTTTGGCGGAATAGGTCTGTCTCAAAACGCCATTGTCACTCCTATTTCTTTTTATATAATTATTAAATTCTACTTTTGTTTCAATTACTGCTAACGCTTAACCGCGGCTATTGATCGGTACTTGATAACCAGTATCAGTTTTTCGCTCTGGAATGCCATTTTCACTTCATAGGGGAGAATGACCCTATCTGCGTGTTTACTCACCTGTTATCGGGTCGACACACGTTAAATTAAGTGTAACTCCGGTCTGAACTTACCAGACGTCAAAGAGCACAAATGTAGGCTATTCAGTGGTGGGGATCAGCCGGTTAGCAGCGGTTCTATAGAACCGTCCCGCGGAATTTTATGAGATCAGCCAACCGGTCAGCATTAGTCTACTAAAAGAGCATATATATAACAGAACCGGTCAAAAAATATGACTTTGGTGATTGAACCGGCTGACAAAAAATTTGAATTCGACCACTGCATGTATTGAATGCCAAATGTTCGTTTATTGTAAAGATGCACGATCCAATACAAACAGATATATACATTTCAACGTTAATACAGAAATACGGTCGAATCCCAGGCAAAATCATAAGAACATGAAAAACACACAATATTTCAACTCTCGAATGAAGGCTGGAAACACACGTCATCAAAATTGGTCGATACAAAAGAACTCTAATACACAAAAAGCCAATGCTCGTAGCTGCCACGATAGCTATTAATCACGGAAGCAGCTAGGATAGCTTAGAGTTCAACATACTATTAATATAAAGGGGTTAAATAACATTATAATGCATAGTTACAATCAGATTCAGATATTTATTTTTCCTCGTTCAATCAACATTCGCTACAAATTCATTTTTAATTTGGCTGCAAATTTATTACCAGTATGGAGGAAAAATAAATTGCTAATAGATGTAATTTATTTAGTATCGGGACACTTCAAACGGGGAGCTCCAACTCTTCCCAACCCGTGTGTGTGTGAGCGTGTGTGAAATAACTTAATAATTTTAGGTGAGTAAACACGTACGACTTCCTCTTGGCAAAACCTTCCATCTTATATTTTGAACGTTAAAAACCTTATCTAAGGTTTCGTTTGCTACCCTGATTTCATAATCAGTTTTTATTTATTTGTTTTTATCTGTCAAATGTGTTGTTATGCTGATTATGGAACTTATAACCCCCCTCCCTCAATGATGGGTTGCGGAGGGTCTCATCTCGGCTGAACCTTTTTCGACACTGACTTCTGTTGAAATATCGATAAAATATGAAAGATTCGGGACCAGTACTGATGTTATTTTCGGCGAGGCTTTCTACAAAAGACCCGGATTTTCGCTTAATCAGCGATGATGACTTGAGCTTCCTTTAAATAAGACGTTGTCGTTTATTCTATTGATTCGGGACGTTTATGTCGTTTCGGACAAAGATAAGTAAGTTCATTTAATGGCATGATCGCCGTAACGATAATACGTGAATGTTGGGAAAGAGAGAAAGACATGACCAAGGGCACAAGATTTCAGAAATGAAAGACGCACGTCGGCACGTGTTTTTTTTTCATTAAGGATAGGATAGGATTTACCTAATTATCCCGGGGAGAGAAAAGCCGATAAGACGGCTTATCCATATGGCGAACCACGGCTTCTCGTCCGGTTACCATTCCAAGTCGGGTATGGGGTTAGTTATATTGTTTGTTTTCGGAGGCATGGACTTGGTGGTGGAGGAAGCCGTAACCGATCAGCGGTTACGTGAACCACCCAACGACGGCGAGGAGTCCAGCAATCCTCTCGCAC